ACTGAAATCATGTATTACTGAATTTAGCAACAACATACCGGACTTTACATTTAACGACTCAACTCCGTTCTCTTTGTCTAGCATTAAGCTAATATAGCTTGAGACTAAGGTTATTATAGACATCAGCATCACATGACGTGTTCTCACCATAGAAGTGTAGGTGTAAGACGCAAACAGCTCCATGTTCACCATCCGGTTGATGGCGGCCTCGCAGTCGCGGTGGTAGTTCTGACGCACTTGGGACTCCATTTCGGCTGGCGTTTCTTGTGCTTTTTATTAACAAAAACGGTGCAAAAATAAAGCTTCACGTCGACTTTATGTGTAGTGTTCAAGTAGAAAAGGTTTTTCTTCCGAAGTGCAGAGTAGCTGAAATACAAAGCGGGACGAAGTCAAGAAGTTCCGTTCAAACACTGTTGAAGCAAAAACTCCTCAAAGATTCCTCCCCTGGTGTGAAACGGCACACTCGCGGGTCCCTGTACTTATACTCCACCGGAAGTGCTCGTGCAAGATGTGACGTATGTTTCCACCAATCACTGAGCCGGGGCGTCTGTACCAGCTGTGACTCACAGGATGAAGTTGCAATTTTTTCTCCTCCCGATTCGTAGAAAACTCCGCATTAACTTTAATGTTTAATGTGACCTGCTGGCAGATAGTCAGGTGCAATGACAAAGCATTTTCCGTAGTTCAACAGGAAATAAGCAACATATATAAGATATTTAACGATAAATCTCAAAACGCGTAAAATCGCTTCTTTGTTTAATGCTGTGCAGCGTTGGCTCAAAAGTCTTGAGCCAACGCTGATATTTCTTTTTCAAGTAGCCAGACCTCAATAATTCCCAGTTCTGAAGGGCGTTTGAAGTTTTTATCTGGACAAGTTTTTTAAACAAATGTTTTTTGCTTGTTTAATAAAGGGACTTAAGACTGGTCTTTGAAACATTCAAGCCAAAAAGGCACAAAACCCAAAGGTTGACCCAATTGTGTCGATATATAACAGAAAACTTTTTAAATTGCATCTTTAGGCGCTTTGTTACTTGCAACCTGTCAATAAAACACATACTGAATCCAATGAACAAAACATGAATTACTATTGATTTATTTCTTAATATTTCAACTACTAATTGTTTCAACCTTACATATCTAATAAAATGAACTTAAATGCGAGAGTTGCCTATGACGGCAGCTACACTGTGTTTCCACTTCTTTTGTTGAATCAGCGAAAAATTCCAAAAACAACCTGTTTAGACGGGCATTTGTTCTAACCAACAAGTACAAAAGAAGAACACTTTTGCATATTATTGTAGGCTAGTTAATGGTTACATAAAAGCAGCATAAACTGAGGCAGAGTTACGCCATAAATCTAACACATGACATCCAAAAACTGCTGATAATGGTGTTTACAACCAAAGAGTTTCTTATTGCATTGCATTGCTCAACACCACAGCACTGTTGGCAGACATTACCAGCAATAGTAGAACCTCCCAGGCGGAAACATTACTACTGCTGGGTAACACAAAACGAAAACTAAGACATGTATACACATTTTTGTATTAGTCTGTTCATGTAAGAGTATCGTGTTAGATGAAACTTGTCCTTGAATAGTCTCACTGCAGCTGAGGTATAAGTGTAACATAACGTCACATACTCAATCCTTTCTATGTAAAGTGCATGTAGAAGTAAATCCACTCATGATATGTTTTTAATACAAAGCCCAAAACACATACAGTAAGCTTTAATATTCATCTTCATGTAATCATAAATATCTCTTCTGTACGTTTATCTTTAACTTGACTTTGTCTTTACATCAAGTCAAGCACTACAAGACAACACCTACAGCAGTGTGAGCAGTACTTTTCCACTGTGCCCGAGAGACCTGCCAGTCTGAACAGGTGTGCTGGTAATCACGTGTTCCCAGCACGAGGACGGAGCCTGCATTTTCTTTGCTGCACCCTTTCAGCTTCATTTTCTAATAATAAAATGAATGAAAGAACATCACTAGACTTGCTTTTAAGCAGTTGAAATGACAGAGAAAGCCTACTGATCTACTCTTTCTTTCCCAGTGAATAACTTCCACCATGTCTGCTTGTCTTAGAGTAATTGATACCTTCCTGCACACTAAGGAGAACATATGTAAGCCTTTTGGCTGAACGTGTCATTTCACACACAGTGGCAGTCACGTAGGCCGACACCGCTTGTCTCTAAAATATGTCTCAGAACAGGTTTAGTTCTCCTTATGATTTGCTGTAGTGTGTGATTTTAGCTGACACGTAATGTACGAGAGTAAACAAAACCTCTCTCAAACACATCAATGATATTGCAAAGGTTACATCTTATTAGTTTGACACATTTTAAATAGTGGTACAAAATTATGGTTTTTTTTCAAGGTACAAGAAGAAGATACGTTTTTGTTACTCGCTATCTACACAGTATATATGTGTTTGCACATCTGTAAATAACTCTCCTGCCACGATGTTGGAACTATAAAAGCAAATGCATGTAACAAATACTAAGGACGGACTTATTGTAGGACAGGCCATTAATCACACTGATGATTATTAGTTATGACTTGTGGAAACATGCGTGGGATTAAATAAGCGTTTCCTTCTTCTTACTTCGTTTTGAAAATGTTGTTGTTATTTTTTCCTTATGTTTCCTTTTGTTTGTTTGTGCTTTTTTTGTAGTTGCTGTTGTGTAATTTTAACATGTTCAAAATAAAGCCACATTACATTTTTAGCATAGTTGTAAGAGCTAGAGACATCATTACATAACACATTCCTCAGTCAGAGAAGCAACACTTGTTTTTCCAGAGCGTCAGAGCTACAGGTGTTACATATGATGCATTTATACCTGTAGACGTTTAAGGTGGAGCTGTTTTAACTGTTTTATTTGCCAATGGGCACAGCAATCATCATATTCTATAAGATTTGTCAGTAGCGGCGCTGTCCAATCAGGACCATGTACTAATAAGAGACATTTTCCATGACCTCAGAAAAAAAACTTAAAACACCTCTACATATATTTCAAGATAAAGGAAAATGGATTCGGAAAAACATAAAAGTGTTAATTTTGTCAGAGTATTCAGAATCAGTGGAGAAATTTGTAGTTTTTGGTACGGAGCAAGGGTAAGAAAACTGCAATCTGAAAGGTTATAAAACTGTTAAATAAATAATGACCTGAGTAAAGACACCAGTTCCTGTGTCATATTAAGAAATAAGGAAGTAGACATAAAAAGTTCCATAAAATAAAAAAAATCCAATACATGTTGTATTTAATGCCAGCCCAATAGATAGCTTTGTGTTCACATGGCTTTTATTTCACTCTAGTCTTATAACTAAATTTCATCCTGCAGTAAAAATGATTGTTAATAAAAGGCTTTCACAGTATAGAGACAACAATCACATAAGTTAGTGTTCTGTGAAAATGGAGGAACCACAGAGCTCAAAGTAAGGAAGGACGAGCTAAAGACAGATCCACAGTCACTGCACACTTATCATCGTACTAAAAAGCACTGTAAGCTGTCCTGTGTTGCCGATACTTCACCAACACCTGCAACAACACATAAGCACTCGTCATCAAGTGGCTACACTTGCTTTGTTTTCCACTCTCATGCTTAACAAAGATGACAGAGCAGTTCAGACAGCAGCTTTGCCATCTTTATTTTGTGCACTCTCGTGTAAGATGATGAGTCCGGGTTGTACCATCAGGTTCAGCTGAGTGTTGTGCGATGTCATCGCTGTGAGTCAGCATTCTGCAGCCGCCAGCACCCGTCTTCCTTTTTCTCTGTTCTGCTTTTGTTGTCACAGGGCCGTGAGAGGGAGGACACCTCGTGATCGCATCTCATTGTACGTTTACCTCAGTGCTCTGCTGGATGGGACCGGTTTGGAAAGACGAACAAGGAACAGAAAGTGTGAACGAAGGAACCAAAAGTGTACTTGAGTTACCGAAACTGTTTTTGACCAGTTATCTGTGTGAACTAGTAGTAATTAACGAAAAGAACTGTATTCATACTTTCTCAGACATGTTTGTTAGGTACATTTGTTCAACTCATGTAGGCGTGTAGACGTGGTGAAGATGGTTCGCTGATGTTCAAACCGAGGATCAGAAAATGTGATTTACTCTGAATGTGGCATGGCTGTTGGTGTCAGAGGTCAGATGAGAAAAGTCAAACTGCTTGAAGTTGACAGTAAAGCAACAGTAATTCAAACAATCACTTGCAGAATAATATCTCCGAACACCCAGCATGTCAACCCTTGAGCTACAGCAGCAGCAGACCACACCAGGTGTCACTCCTGTCAGCTAATAACAGGAAACTGAAGCTAAAGTTTTTGATGCATGCATCCAGCAGGATAAACTATTTCACAAAGCTCAGGTCATCGCAAACTGGTTTCCTGAGCATGACAGTGAGTTCACTGCACTCAATATCAATCCAGTCGAGCACCTTTAGGATGTGGAGGAATGGGAGACTAGCATCATGGACGTGCAGCTGACAAACCCATCGTGTCACATGGGCCAAAGTGTCTGAGGCTTGTTTCCTGCACCTTGTTGAATCTGAAGAAGTAGAGATGTTCTGGAGACAAAAGGGGGCTGAGTGTATATCACCAACTCACAACGGTTGCCTCGAGGCACTTTTACAAAGGAAAAACGCTGCAATAAGAGAGAAAACTCTAACAATCAGAAGCACTTGGATACAGTGGAAAGAAAGAACTCCCTTTTAACAGGAAGAGACCTCCAGCAGAACCAGGATCACAGTCACAGTGCCACAATCAAACATATGAGCCAGTAGGTTTACAATGTGCAGTGGCGGCGCTGCGCTTTTCTTATAAAAAAATAGATAATGCAGGAAGCACATTTATATTTCTTTAACCTATTCCATGCATAAAATAATTTAAGAGACACTGATCAAATCAGTAGTCCGGATTTATTCATTTAAGAAGTGTTGATGCAATATGTGTAGCAGAGAAAAACAGCTTTCAAAGAATCTACAGAAGAATTCTGCAACAGCACAGACAGCTGTAGAAACATAACTTAAACACTAGAAGCTAGAAAAGCTAATGTATTTGTGAGTAATGGGAAAAGAAATAAAACAATAAATATACATTTCCAGACAATCGTTTTCTTTAAATATTCGTTTTTAAACAGACACACTTGACATTTGTTTGTTTTATCGGTTTTATTTCACAATGTGAATTTGGAAACAAATGAAATGTCACTTGGAATGTTTTTGCACGACAGAGTCAGATTTGACCTTTCATGGCTACAAATTACAGTATTAATGTACAGCAAAAGACACATGACACAGGAAGTTGGATCCATGTACTGCTGCTTTTTGTTTGTTTTGCTGAGTCACTGACAGATCTGTAAGGCTGACACGGCTTCAAGTTGCAGAGTATGCATAGTTCCCCCCAGCTGAGATATTTCAATGGAGAACTCTTTTCAGTGCAGTTAAACTGGACTCCCTTTGGTGTGATTTGATTGCTCAGATGCGAACAGCATAATTAGCACCAAGATGCAGACCATAATTCTTTAGAAGCTCCAGGAGTGCAAACTTCAGCTAAATGCTTGTTATTCTGACACCAGGGCAAATCACACAAACTGTAGCTGCTTCTGGCAGCTTGAGAATAAAGCAACATTTTAGCAAACACGGCCGCTCTGTGGAGTTCAGGTTTTTTTATACAGGGCACTCTGCACATTTGATTTGTAGTAAACCCTCTAAGTAAAGAAATACATCATAGCTCCACAGAACATTTACAGGCATGAAGTGTGCAGGAGCCGCCCGAGTGGTGCACTGCGAAGCTCGATTAAATCCTCAGTCAGCCATGTTGAGCTTAAAGAGTTTCCTGTGTCACAAAAGTCGCTCTTTCTACTAAATCACCATGGTAACTTACGCTGAACACAGCCCGGTGCTTTGGTTTAGAAAGATCCTGAAGTAAAACATTTTCTCTGGATCCGTTCTTTACAGCATGTTTTAAGTACCTGCATGATTGTTAAGCCAGACTTTATTAAACTGACTGAATGAAGGGCAGCTGTAAAGTTACAGAAGTGCAAACTGCAAAAAAATGAACAAATGTTTTTATACTTCATTCAAATCTGCTGCCTAATCTTATGCACGTAGCTGGATTTGCAGCTACGACAGGAGAAAGCTGATAACCAGCGTCGAGGTTCCTGTTGGGCTTTTAGGTTTTGTCAAGCCAGCGAACACAAACAGCGGCTAGCTGTGTTGAAGCCTCTGATACCCGCTGCTTCCTATACGTGTAAGGTTCTGTTGTAGTTAAACCGCACATCTAATGTGTGTTTTAGTTGCTGTTTAGAAACAGGAGCCACAAAGGGTTTTTTCGAGGACCTCTCAGCATACGTCACCAGATTGGAAGTATTTTTTTGGCTTTTCTCTCAGAAAAACTTTAGTACATAAGTGTTGCTGTATTGTCAAAAACAAAATAAAAAATATATATATTGTTCACGTTTATCTGTATTCACTCCTGATCACTGAGAACTACCTTGTGAGCGCCCCCTGCTGTGACCTTTTCTGAATTGCACCTCATTTCTGTGTCTTAACTTCTGAGCAGGAAGTGGAATGGCCCCCACAGAACATGCTCAAGCCCATAACACAACTTTATCTATTTAATATGCACTGACCCTGCAACACAGGCGCAACAATCTGAGCCAAAGTTCTCCTGAGGTTTGTCACGGTTCACGTGGATTATTCGTTAACGTGGAAAGAAATGTGAACATGACCTACTTTGCAATAACTTGTGATACCTGATCAGACATGTGAGGGTTAATTAAAATACGCATAACAGAGGTAGAAAATCAGCAGGGTTATTATCATGATAGCCTGTTATGACTAAAATAAAGGAATCCCAACATTACTAAAGAGCAGCTATTGTTAATAAACCTTCAGGTTTATTGTTTTGACTAATCAAGCAAAACGTTGCAGTAGTTCTAACGGATGTTACTTTGGCTAGCATTGTTTTTTATATTTATTTAAAAACCAAAATGACAAACTCAACAATGAATCGATTCTTCTGACGGGCAGCTACTGCTCTACTCGATAATCTTCAGTAAACCGACATACATTTAAATGAAAACAGTGAAATGTTTTTAGGGTCTCTGCATTGACCGTCACAGGGACGTAAAAGGGAAAAACCTTTCGTCTTAATCACAGTGAATCGCCACATTTTCCATTTTAGGATCATTTTTAAACCGTGTTGGCAACAAAAATCAGCTCATATATCAGCAACACTGTTAACGTGTGACCTGCATTGAATCCCTCGTCTGTCTATTAAGTGCTTTGTGTCAGCCATTCCTAATATAATCTCAAAATTTAATTTAACATCTAATGTTTTTGCTTTTAAAATCCCTCCTCCCCTTCTGTCGCCGTCTGGCCTGTGAGGATTTCTGCTTTTTCAGGTCACAGTCAAACGCTCCACGATCCAAACTGTAACTCTGTTCCTTCTTCCTGCCGTTCCGTTTTAAGCTGTAGGAATCCACACACTCTTCCACTGCACAGCGCTTCTCCACATTTCTTCCAGGAATGACGGACGGCACCGAGTCCAGTCTAGCTCCCCATCTTTCCCTTCCTGGTCCTCACACAGGCGCAGGGTTTTTAGTGGACTAGTGCAGGTGTACTGGAGGTACTGGCAGCCCTGCAGCAGGAAATCAGAAACAGTGAAGTGAGTGTAGGCGATTATATGAGGCAGGCCTAATTTGGGAGAAGGAACTCAATCCTACACTCAGGAGCTCAGTTTAATGCAAATGAGTTAGCTAAAAGAGTTAGCCTCACCTCAGCACTGCCCCAGTACCAGATGGCCTTGATGACACTGTGATTAGCCAGAGCCACAGTCAGCTGGTCTCGACTTCCTGTAATAACGTTTACCAGACCTGCTGGCAAGTCCGAGGACTGGAGCACCTGAGAAAGAGGAGAAGGAAAAGGTGCAATAAAGATAACAACCGGTTTTTATGATTCACGGTGCTTTTTAAATGCAGGTCAAGCTGAGGAAACCGAAGACTTGCTTCAAGTCTGCAGTCAAGTTTTCATCTTAAATGAAAACAGATCTGCACACAAGTTCACACTGACAGCCTCGTGATCGACTGCAGCTTAAGCTGGGCTGACCAAGCACTTTTAATGCTGACCAACTTAGAAAAACTGGCTAGAAACAGGCCCGCAACATTAAGGTACAATTTAAGACTTTCAAACTCTCCATTAGGAAGCATTATCTAACCAACAGTCCACTCGCCTACGTCTTTTTCTTTCTTTTTTTTGCTTAGGCTGTACAAAAACATTTAGGCACCATGTCTTACAATAGCAGGCCAACCAAACATCTGGGGGAACCCAGAATAGATGCAACACTGAAAGGATCTGGAACTGCACATAACTAAAACAATCATGACACTATAAGCAGACTTTTCTAAAACCTTTGCACATCATTTCCATTTGAGTAAGCAGCTGTTCTTTCCAAGGTTTGACCTTTGATTAAAAACATCTTCAGAGCTTCTTTGCAACACGTAAAGCAAAACACGTGCACGCATGTTAGACGTGACCTGACAAGTTCAGCCGCACAGAGCTGTGCAGATTTAGGGATTACCCTCAAACAGCTAAGTGCAGACATGTAACACTCATCCAGTGATGATTTATTTCAGTTCAATTCATTTCATGTGTTCAACGCATGAAGACTCCTTTATCCTCGGCTCACATCCCTTATGCCTGCACAGCCTGTCCTCAAATTATTATTAAGAGGCTAACACTTAGACAGATCACTATTTACCATCACACCAACAGCCACTTTAGAATCACATGTTAGCTGAGCCACAAGCTCAGCTTCATGGTTGTTAGTATGCTCGTTGTCGTGACCGGTGATCAATGGCTACGAGGACTGTTCACAGAGCTGGTGAACGGCTGTAATCACAGCGCAGAATGACATACTGAGAGACTCTTCGTGTAATTGGTCTCTTTGACTCCCTGCCCAGGACGTGCACCTCCTCGAGTGTAAACAGAGTGCAGCGTCCTGAGCAATGTGAGCAATCTGCTGCAGTAAACGAGAAACACCAGCAAACGTGGTGGTGGACACAAAATGGACAAAAGCCTTTATTACTATTTTTGCTTAACGGCGCTTCTTATCACGTCTGACTGGCGTTTCTGCGCGTGCATGATTGAATTTAAAGTTAATGGACATGCTCACACAGGTGCCCGCGCATGTTTAAAATGGCTGCAGGGTGGCGAGCCTTTCCTCTAGAATGACAGCAGCTCTGCTTCTGACCCACACAGTGTACTGACATTTCATACAAACCTGGGTAAGTTAACGGTTGTGTACTTTTCTATTCACTTGTACAATCACTAGTTTGACCCCTAAGTTAAGACGATATTCAGGTCAGCTGCCTCTGAATAACAAAGACGTATTGCTTCAGTTCGTGTTACTTTTGTTCCACCGACTTCTGCGTGTTTGACTTTGTGTTCCGACTGAAACATGCAACTTCTTTCTAAAGGTTCCCTGCCACTTGCCACGCAGCACATTTATACACTTACCTTAATGAATGCCAAGACAGGCAGTGGATACTTTTGACTGGGGACCATAATAACAGCATTGCCTGTGGCAATAGTTGCCCCAAGCACGGTTACCATGGAGAGGAGGGGATTGTAGTCAGGTAGGACGACCCCCATGACTCCCAGGGCTTCAGGGATGGAGAGAGCGGAGCCAGAGTTTGGCATGGGCTGAAGGAGAGGGAAACAACGAGCGATCAGACGGCCTCAGCTGATACTTTTCTATCATGTTTCAGCATCTTTAGCAGCTTTGAGTAACATGAAAGGTCTCACCAGCGCTCCTCCCAGGACTTTGTCACAGTAAGCGGCCCAAACGCTGAGCCTGGTAATGCTGAGCTCCACCTCCTTCTCAGCCTCGTCCATTGACAGGCCGGTCTGTGTGTTGATTGCTGCAGCTATGTCCCGCCTCTTCGCCTCAAGGCCCTTGGCCAGAGAGTAGAGTGACTGGGCACGTGCAGACGGGCTCTTTTTCATCCAGCTGTAAGAGACAAAGGCATTCAAAGAAATACAACAATAATAATATAAATAAAACAAAAGCCTGATGCCATTTGTTGGGATTTATGTGTCTGTCAGGTTAAACTTCATTACGTGGATAAAATCTATCAACTGTTAAAGACTGCCGATGAGTAATGGCCACACGTCCTGCTTCACAGCTTGTGTCTGTCAGATTTCAGTGAACTCTGTAAGCAGTTTGTGTCGAATTCATGCCTCTGCACTTTGTCTTATCTGTTCCCACAGTCAAGTTGTACATTGACTGATGGCAAACGCACACAGCCCGGCCCTACAGTAACCAGCTGATAAGAGCAGATTAAGAACACAATGTTCTACATGGAAGGCTCAGAGGACTCATCTACATGTTGTGTATATGGAGTAAAATGTAACAAACAACATTCAAGTGGATCTACGCTGCTCAGTTCACTCTCCAGATTTCTGCTTTGTGACTCTACTCGTCGAACAGCCTCGTCTGACTCCAAGTTAAAAATATTAACATTTCTTTAGCGGCTCTGTCGTAGATGCAGAACTTCATTTTAAATCCTTCAAGGTCTTAAATAATCACATCTTAAAATCCTCATATTACTGTAGTATACCAACAAAGCACGCTGCTCTCAGACTGGCAGTGTCTCAATGCACAATCAGCTTTCAGCCCTTCTGTGGAAGCAGGTGCAGGTGCAGGTGTGGGTGTGGGAGCTGGACCCCGTCTCCACTTTAAGAAAAGACCTGAAAGAACCTGTGAAACCATCCAGAAATACTACAGGGATGATTTGTACCTACATCATTACTTGATGGCTTTTCCACTAATATAGTGACTACATCTTGGAATATCTGTGCAGTTTCACAAACTCAACAGCATCTGTTGTGCGAGTACACAAACCTCAGTTGTGTTTGTGGTTTTGTTGAATGACCTGTACGTGTAGTTTGCGCTCTCACCCTGGCTGGACTTTGACAGCAGCCTCCACAGCATTGCGAACGTCCTTCCGGCCCCCGTCTGGGCAGTAGGCCAACAGACCACCACTACCACCTGGTGGCTGCACAGCCACACTGCAGCCAGACACTGACTTACATGCTTTACCAGCAACAAACTGCAGGTGGGACTGAGGGGCTCTAGAAAAAAGAAAGAAAATGTCTGTAATGATGCGATTAGTGCTGTGCAACACATTTGTCCTGCAACATTTACCAGCTATAATGCTTCACAAACATACCTGGCAGGGTCCGACTCAGCAGGAATGATAGGTGGGGACGTTTCTGTTCCGAACTGCGTGTAGTCCATGGAGACGGGAGAGGAGCGAGGAAGAGGGGGGGAGGAAGAGGAGGGGCGTAGAAACTGGTACAGACCCTGACAGGATAAAGAGTGATTTATGTGGGCGTGTTTAGTAGGGATGTTTTGCACTGCAGGAGCTGGTGTCTACAGAGCTGGAGACCAATAAGAACCTCATATCTAAAGACCGAGGTTATTAGTGCTGCGGGGCTATATGAGCCTAACAGAAAACACTAAACTAAGGACAGAGAGACGACACCCAGGGGACGCTGAATTCAAACATTGAACTACAGCAGCATGTGCAAGCAGTGTTACTGATCCAGGCTCTGTCGGCCTGTCAAAACCACAAACCTCCTGTCCTCCATCGGTGCAGGTCCCGCTGTCTTTGTGACCGGAGACGGGCAGACAGGGGTCACAGATGGAGTGGGAATTCACCCACACAGAGCCAACTGACAACCTGGGAGGACACGAAGAAGAAATATTCATTTTAAAGGAAATAAATATGAATGTTAGTACTAAATGGACAGTCACGAGATGTGAAGCCGACCATGAAAGTCAATGTATTCGCTTTACACCGAGCACAGGTGGTTGTGACGAAACGACTGTATATGAAAGTAAAAAGAAAAGCCAACAAAGAAACGAAGAGAAGGAGAAAGAGGAAACAGACAGCAGAACATCAACAGAAGGACAGAGAGCAGAGAATGCAGATGCACCTCTGAGCTGTCTCCAGAGCGAGGGTGAGGTCTTCGGTCCAGATGGATGCTGCCTGACCGTGAGGACTGTGGTTCCCTGCACAGGGCAGAAAATGTTACTCCGGCGCCTTGTTCAACACAGGCCCAGGTCTCTGATAACGACGCAAATGCAACCCTCTAAAAAACCCTCAAACCTTATTCACGTTGGTGTCTTATAGGAGACGTTTTCACATGAAGCTTCTTACCAAGAGTCACGGCTTCTGTGTTGCTTCTGAAGGTCATGAGGGGCAGCAGTGGTCCGGGACAGGGGTTGAGCACACATGGTGAGGAGGGGGCCACCCCACAGAGCACAGTGGAAGGATACTGGGCACCTGACGTGGGATCAGCACAGGACTGAACCAACTGAGGAGAGATCATTTAAAACTGCTAGTTATGGGCAGTAAACTCAGAGGAAATGAAGACAAAGTGGTGCACACCATCAGCAGACTAGTCTAAGGGAACCTTCAAGTTCGTTGAAACTTTTCCTGGCATTAACATTTTTAAACCCTGATGTCTCAAAGTCTTCTTACTAACCGTGGCTCCCAGCTGCTGAGCCTCCTGCACAGCAGCATCCACCCGTTCCCTGTCTGCCTCACTGGGCAGGGTCACACATTTCATCTTGGCCATTCGCAACCGGAGATGGGCAACAACACTGTCCACCACACTCTCCTGCACACACAACACCCAGAAGACCTGCAGGCAGAGGGGAATCCCGTCAAACAGGCTCAGGGATGCGTCGCTGGAATAAGAGTTACCTCGTCGCTCTATAAGCGTACCTCTTTCTTCTTCCTGAAGGCGGCCTCCATCACCTCATCCACGGCACTGTTAATGTCTGCCGACTCAAAGATGATGAAGGGACAGGTGGAGCCTACGCACGGTGACACCGCCACAGGAACTCCCATCCCTGCTGTGGCCTTACACAGCATCACTCCGTCCTCAAAGAGCAGGGAAACATTTTCTTACACACAGCTCAGCCATTTGGACTCCATTTCACTCACTCTCACAAAAACACACACAGTCGTGTTTTCATATCTTAGTGGGGACGTCTAATTGACAATGCTTTCCCTAACCCTAATCATCAAAAAGCAATGCCTAATCCAAACCTCGCCTAAGCCTAACAGTAACCCTGACACCAAAACCACATTAAGAGTCTCAAAAATGCCCTCAAACTCGAAGGGACAGGCATTTTGTCCCCATAAGGCAGGGGTGTCCAACTCCAGGCCTCGAGGGCCGGTGTCCTGCAGGGTTTAGATCTCACCCTGGGTCAACACACCTGAATCACATGATTAGTTCATTATCAGGCCTCTGGAGAACTTCAGGACATGTTGAGGAGGTCATTTAGCCATTTAAATCAGCTGTGATGGCTCAAGGACACATCTGAAACCTGCAGGACAGCGAGCCTCGAGGCCTGCAGCTCCCTGCCATAAGGGCTGTTGGTCCCAGTATAGTAACATTCCCATTTCTGGTCCCCACAAAGACATGCAAACATGGCACACAAACACACCTCCTTGTTGCCGCAGTAGTTGACGTAACTGATGCTGTGGTTCTGGGCCACTTTGACACCCAGTGTTATGTCACTTCCTGTTAGCACATTAAGAGCCCCAGCAGGAAGTCCTGCTCCTGTAAAAAGCTGAGCCAGTAGTAGTACTGGGGGGGCCGTGCTCTGACCGGGGACAACCACCACAGAGTTGCCTAGAAGGAAGAAGCATTCATTTATACCTCACAGCTCCTCTGACACCACAAATAAAGATATAAAACCTAAACGATTAAGATGATAACAAATTACAAAAAGAGATAACTGGCTTCTCTCTCATGACTAATCTTAAGCTACACATCTTTGGCCTTTGGATGAATTTTCTGGTATTTAATAAACCATATAATTTATTAATCAACTAAAGCATGAATCGATGAATATAACCACAGGCTGCAGGGCTGGATCTGGATACATTTGATAGTAATTAAGATCTAACAGCACAAAAACCAATTCTGAAAAAGTTGGGACACTGCAGGAAAAGTAAACACGAACCAAATGAATCTCTTATAAAATAGTATTTCATCACAAATGTTTAAACTGAGACATTTCAGTGTTTCACTTTTAAACTCAGGTATTAAGACGATTTTGAAATGTTCAGATTTGATGTTAGAGTCGGATTAGCATTCAGCTACAAACGCGTGTGTGTTTTACCCATAGCCAGTGCTGGCAGGACTTTGAGCAGAAGAGAATAGAGAGGACAGTCTTTCGAGGTCACCACTGCCACCACACCTGGAAGATAAAAAATAAGAAAAATGACGAAACAACACAATAAAAAGACTGAGAGCATTTTGTAAAGATAGCTGAATTCACTTACCCAGAGGTGTCCAGTCAGTGAGGAGTGCGTCTCTGAGCTGCGCCCAGCTGCTGTAGAACTGCAGCAGCCTGATCAGGGCGGCAGTGGCGCAGGAGGCCTCACAGAGCTCACACAACTCTGAGAGACACTGGCCGTGCTGCCCGAGGACACTCACCAACCTGTTAGAGGACAGAAATTCATCTTTATGTTAAACTAGTGACTCAAAAACAAAGCAGCGAGGTGTGTGAAGGTGTGTTTGTTGGACCTGAGGAGCACTTTGGCCCTTTGGTTGCAGCTCAGGCTGCTCCAGGACTTGAAACCGTTAACAGCAGAGGAGGCACACTGGGAAATATCAGCTTCTTCAGCGCATGCTGTGCTGCATACAATACTTCCTGGAGAGCAGGCAGGCAAAACACTGAGACCATCATTATCATTAGGATGTTTGGAAAAAGTCTGAAACACTGACTTGTAATGAAGAGGTTTTAACTTCTGTGTAACTGTGTGCTTGGGCTGCTCTCACCTTTAGAATCAGCCAGGGAGCAGCTCCGCCCATCTGCTGAACAGACAAATTTACCGTCAATGAAGAGACCCAGAGAACGGGAACGATGCTCCAGCCAGGCCTGATGAAGAAGAGAGGGAACGGGGGAAGGATCAGCTCCAGAACAGAGAGACCAACACTCCCACACAGATTCAGTTTTGTTAAAAGGTTACTGCAGATTTATGAAAATCCTTGAATTAAAATAAAAAAGTCTTGCTTCCCTTTTATCAAACCGTGCCTGTATGAGTACAGAGGATGAGGATGCCGAACATCTCAGACAAGCTGTTATCTGGAGTCTTACAGGTAAAGGAGGCCCTTCTAATGTTTTTGCAAATCTAAGCATTTGCATATAAGAGATGTGCATTATTTTGAAAATAAGAAAAGAAAACTACAGTCTATCGCGCTCTCAACATTTTAAATCCACAACATGTTAACATCGTTATTAGCACACTCGTGAAATTATGGCCTGCAGATGAGCAGCACCCAAAACCAAAAAAACCTTTTTACTGGTTGAAGAGACCAATATACATGGCAGTGACTGATAAAGGCGGGTAGGCAAAGTGAAGAGTGTCAGCTATTTACAGACTGAAGACCAAAGTACAGAGCTCAACTCTCTGCAAAGCACCAACGGCATTTTTTTAGCAGTATGTATTAACTGAGCCGTGGTGCTGGTACTATGGTCTCTCATGCGCTACATGATGTGGGCTGTCAAATGACAGCATGCTAGTGGTTTGAGTGCTTCTCCAGTAATTTAGCACTCTTTGTAAACCATCAATGTCCTGACAGCCACAAAAACCTTTACACAGCTGTTTTTACACAGCTGTTTTTACACAGCTGTTTTTACACAGCTGTTTTTACACAGCTGTTTTTACACAGCTGTTTGCAGATTAGCAATCATAGACTGTACACAGAAGATGGGAGTAGCCAGCTGATTTTACTTAGTTTTAGCAGGCCTGGCACCATAAACGAGGGGTAAACCTTTATTGAGAGATCCCATCTTCTACATGTGGTATTTGGCAGAAGCTCCTGTTAAACTCTTTTCAAGTTCAGGTAAAAAGAGGAACCCCCTAAAATGTTTTTCACGGACTACGGTGGGATACGGACATAAAAAACAATCTACATGAACAGTAATCCCTCGACACATTATAATGTAATTATGTGTCTAGTTATGTCACATGTTTGTCTTGTGAGGTACACTGGGCTAACGGTTAAGCAACTTCACGAGTCCAATAACTTATATAGGTATCCGCTAACTCCGCAGCACAGCGTGCTGTGAGTAAGTTTAGTTTCAAAGCAGTCTCCGAATATGAATCTGAACGTAACCTGTACCTGTGCAGTAGCAGTGCTAGAAGTTGCTGCTGGCCCGTACTCCATGCTTTGGAAAATCTCGTACACTGTCTTGGTGCTGCTAACAGCCATAATAAGAAGAAACCACTGTGGGAGCAAATCTCGCCGTCGCTGTGCGTGGTCGTTCTTGGATGGAGTTAGGAAGAATACGAAGAGAGAAAGCTGGCAGAAGGGGAACTCGAGCGTCACTCCGACTCTGAAAGAAACGTGCTAGCTTCCCTGAGCTGCCAGAAACGCGCAGGTCGATACGTGAGAGCGAGAGGATTCACTCCTCCCGACTTCCGCTATTGTGTGCGCTAAGTTCACGAGAACGCAGATAGACCGTACTAGGATGTATGGACACTGAGAAAATGAAAATAACCGTTTTTAACTTCGTAAAGCACAATCAATCCAGGTTTTAGTTTTTTCAAACTCATACAAATTATTGTAATAAAACGTGTGACATAATTTCAAAATAAAGCCTAATTTCCGGTGTTTGTGCCAAAAAATGATCGTCTGCCAAAAACTGATTTTTGGTATTTGCCAAAACTGATATATAACTTGTTGGTGTATAATATGTGAAACATATGTCAAATGTATCCGCCATGACTGATATCAAGTCATCTTGAGCCACAAACAACATTATTGTAACAAGGCAGAAGCTGCAATCAGTTTTTGGCAGTGACTTTTATATATCCTTTATTTATCCAGTTAAGAAAATCTTGTTGGCATTAAAAATGTTTTTTAAGGTTAATCTGCCCAAGAGGACAGCAAATATTACAAACAATATCACAATAGTTCTGTAAACATATTTTAAGTGGACAAAAAGGACCGGATTGGTTACAATATCAAAGAGTTATAAAGATACTTGAAAAACATGTAAATTTTAAAGTTTAGATTTAACCCCTGTGTAAACCCTGTTCACCGAAGTCTATTTACCAACGTACGTAAAGTTTAAAACGCACACACGCACACACGGAAACATTCGGTCACGTGTCCAGTCTGTCATGTAGCTAAATAAAATAATAATAATTTAATTTTAAAACAAAAAGTGATTTTGAATGATTAAAAAATGAAAATCAATGATAATAAATGAGGGGCAATTCGCTTTAAAAATGACTCATCACATCTTAGGAGGTTATGGTGTTAAATTTTAAACTTAAATCACTTTTTTTAAGTACATGTGTAATTGTGTTGTCTGCCGTTTTGAAGACTTCCTCCAGTTAAAAGATTCATAGCCACAATACAAATTTGGTTTAAAGACGCAACGTGTTTTGGTGCGTTTAGTGGTCCACGTCTATAAGAACGTTATTAGTTGTGACTAGCGCAGCCATTACTTTAAACGGATAATTGTTTTACATTTATTTATTTATTGCTTTTATTATGACTATTACTTTTTACGATGCTGTACAGTTTAAAGCAATCCCAAATACCCAATTGAGCGCATTCAAATATGGCTGCAAAAATCTTAATGCACCATAGTAGCGTGATTTGACGGTGTATGTTTCTCCCCGGAGTCATTTTGTCACTGTACCGCCCAAAAAGAGCGAGTTTGCGCTGTCCTCACTAGGAAGTGCGGAGAATTTTATGCGCTTTTTTTCAGCTGGGTTGGCTCATGTCAGCTGGTGGTTATTTTTTCGTTGTTACAGTTTCAAAAGGCTGCCATAAATTGCCACAGCACGGGATAATAATCCGCCAGAGGCGTTACGGCAGATCTTTGAAAAATGCCCCGGAGAAAGGTGAGGCAGACTCAACCGTTAATGCAGATAAACAACAACATAACGTCATAGCTAATGTTAGCCGACATAGAGGTAAAAGCAAACAAACTGTGTGGGAAACAAACTTAAGGGGGCTGCAAGCTAAAAAACGTTCCTACAAGACAAAGTGAACGGCTTGCAGCATTCATAGAATATCAGTGCTTATAGAATCGCATAAGTGAGCTGTCGATCTGCGGTTGCTATATGGCTAAGCTAGCTCAGGCTCATATTGCTGAGTTGCAAGAATATGTTGTTGTTTTTGAACCGTCGCTTCTTTCTAGTACCCAAATAAGAGTTTTAAACATGCTGGTAACTTTGTTCAAATTTGTAACGGCTGCTTAGTACAGTGGGAATCCCGAGCACACTTTAACGTAGGTAACAGCAGCAGCTTTAGCTTACTGATGAAAAAGCAATAGGCAGTTCTTGGGGTGCGAGGAGGAACGGGCGCCCGCACCAAAACAACAGCTGTGATTGGACGGACGCCTGACAAGCGTCGCGTTCATTGGTTCGCATTCTCTAACGCCCGCCTCCTTTTTAATTTAATTGGTCGTATGTAAATTGTGCGCGTAGCATCTTGTTATGAAGTTGTCAAACATAGTTTGCGGTAATAGCCCGTGCTGTACTGATGTTGTTTCTGATCTTTGGGTTTCTTTTTGGCTGTGTGAATTTTAAAAAGTAACTTACATTGTTATAAATTTACATTAATATTAAAAGACAATTAGTTAGCCTAATAACATGTTATTACTATTATTTTATTGCTGTTACGCTAACGTCCATAAAGCAGGATAACCACATTGGCCTGGATCTACCTCTCCATTTTTATCAAAGTCTGTAACTGTTCATTTGTTTTCATAAATAGTTAGCAAAACAATGAGAAAAGAATGGGAAGTGAATGTAACAAAGTAGTCACTGTTTCTACATTTCATTTAACATAAGTAAGGACAGATTAGAAAAGTAACTAAATAAATACTGTGACGATAATAATGTTTGTAATGAATTAAACAGAGAAATGTGCACATTGTTTGATCCTGTTTTCATACTTTTTGTGTTTGTTTTGTTTTTTAGGCTAGACCGAGATGACAAGGATCAGTTTGTGCAGTGATTGACAGCCATCACTGCTTAATTAGTCTAGTGTGAATTGTCAGAATAAAACAACATTCCATTCATTATGCTTATTAGCTAACATGGAAGTGTGCTGATTTGAACAAATTATCCTGAATCGTTAGGTGCTGGACTTCTAAACAAACCCAGTTGTTATAGGTTGTGCTTGGTACAATAGATTAGCTGTCCGGACCTCCCGTGGTGATACTGGTATTAGGCTTATCTGAAGTATTTACAAGTCCTTGGTGGGAAGAGGGGGTGAAGTGCCGGAGGAGATTTGAAGGGGGTGACGCTCCTCCCCCCAGAATGGGATCTTTGTTGGATTATCCTCTGGCAAAGAGGGAAAAAAAGTAACTTTGTCACACGCGGTTGTGTTGGTCGTCCATAGTTGTTGCTTCTAACAGATTGCTTCTAACTTCTAACTGCTGCTTTCCCAGAGGACCGCTGGCAGCAGCTCGGACGGGACGGAGGACTCGGACTTCTCCGCTGATGTCGAGCATGCTGAAGCTGCTGAGATTGTGCACAGACGCAGCAGCACACGCCTGACTCGCGCATCTCTGCGACTCAGCCGAAGTTCACAAGGTAAACATTCACATTTGGACAGAAATACAAATTAGAAGAGAGATCAGTTCAGTCACTGTTAACAAATTTTGAGCCAAAGGTTTGCACGAAAAAAACTGACCAAAATAAAAATTGCATGAAATGGAAAAAACATAACTTGTTGACATAAAGGTGTACATATATCCTTTTCACATTGTTTAGGTTACTGTGTAGCTTTTGGGTGTTCTGGAAGCATAAGAATCCAAGCATGCCTACATGCTGTGTAATTCTGTCTCTATAAGTAATATAAATTAAAGATGCATTCATTCAGAGTCCAGCCTGAGACTTTAAACCCTCCTCACTACACTGGTTTAGACATAGCTATTGTATATGGGCAGCCATAGAGGCTGAATGGCTTTAGACAGACTGATCTCCCTCATCTCTCTCTCTCTCACACACACACACACACACACACACACACACACACAC